GCCCAGGTTGGCGACTTGAGCAAAGTATAACGACCACGTCCAACCCATGGGTAGCGCGAGAGCGCAGGGCCAGAGGTAGTCGTCCGCACGCGCCGGCACCCCGTCCACGAGCTGGCCGACGATGCCGAACTCCTTGGCCACCCCGCCCGGGTAGCAGAAATACTTGGAGAGGTCGTTGCCGAACATCATGCGGTGGAAGCAGTCCTTCACGTCCGCTTTGCCCAAGAAGATGGGTAACGCGCTGGTTTGCTCGGCGTCGCACTCGATCCGACCAAGTCCCTAGTGGACAGCAGCTCGACGCCTGGAGGGGTAACAAATCGCTGGTTTGAACGGCGACACTCCAGCACCATCCCCATGGAGGCACGCTCCTTCTCCCACACGAAGAATACACCCACGAACTCCTCGGGTTCGCGAGTGAAGCCCACCAACCTCTCACGCCTCAGATCCTTCACGAACGTGGAGTACCGACGGCGACTGTTGGCGAGCAGCGGGTCGGTGTAGATCTTGATTTCACCATTTGTCTCTCGGTCAAGCTGAACCTCAGCTTCGGCCCTGATCATCTGCCCCTCTGCCTCTACCAGATACTCGAAGGAGCGCCCTGTGACCAAAGATCCCACGGCTGGGGCCGTAGAGACGCCATGGGGGAGAGAGCCTGCGCCCCGTTGGTAAGGTGCCAAGGTAGCGTAGGCCGTCTCGGCGTCGTAGACCCCGCGGCCTCGAAGCAGCCCCTGGAAGGCCTCCTTCGGAGAGTGGTCGGAGGGCGGGTCTGAATAGGTTTGGACCCCCCGGGCGATTCGCACCAGCACCTCCTGTTGAAATTGACGACGGCATGGGTGAACGTCACACTGCGCACGGCCACCGAGCTCTCGATGTCCGGCACCCCACAATCAATTAAGCGAGCGCACACACTGCCGCCAGTCCCTCACGAACCGACGCTGGGCACGCCCCTGAAGGTGGACCCAAAAGTCTGCAACGAAAGAGGGGTCGTCGGGCAGCGGGGACATCTCCGCGGATCCGCGCGCAGGCCCAGGAAGGCAAACGGCAGCAGGGGGGCCAGTCCCACCGCCGAGGGCCCCGTCTCTCATTGGGCCCCCGCCGCGGCGGCGGCGCCTCTACCTCCCTCGGGGGCGCCTCGGCCCGTTCCCTCCGGCGGCTGGCCCGCCGCGGCGGAGACAGGAGTGCCGCGTGCAGCGGCAGGAAGACCACCAACAGCGGTGGCATCGGCGGCCACGGGCAGGTTGCGTGCCCGCGCGCGCATGGACTCGACCTGGGCCTCGTCCTTGGCCCTCTTGGCAACGCAATGCTTGAGCTCGGGCGCCACCATGTCCACCGCCGAGCCCACGCCGGAGCACAGCCTCGCGTTGGCCCACTGGGGCCAAGAAGGATCACCCGAGTAGGCGTCCACAATGCTGAAGGCGACGCGCGATAACCTCGAAGCTCACCAGCGAGGGCATGTCGAGCTGGTCGCACGTGCCCCCGACGTAAATGACCTCGCAGAGAACGGACAGCGCGTGAAACACACGCTCGCCCGGCCCAATGTTCTTCGAGCGAGCCCAGATGTCGAGCCACATCCTGATGTTGCCTCCGTGGCGATCGGCGCGCCTGAGGATGTACATCAGGCTGGTCGGGCCTTCGACGGGACTGTCGGTCCACACGGCGGGGTAGCTCTCGATCACCACGTTACGCCATGTCTTGAACCGAATGCCTTGAGCGTCAGTGTCCACCCAGAGCGCGCGGGCGTCGCCCGGCTCTCCCGCCGCCTCGGAGGCGGCAGCCACCGGCGTCGCCGCCCCACGCTCCTCGGTCGGCACGATGCCAACGCGGCGGCCGAAGTCGGTGGGCGCACAACTGGCATCACGGATCGCAAGCTCGAAGGCGGAGGCTTTCATGGACGCGTAGTCGCCGACCTCCGTCTCGGGCACGAGCTGCACTGGGACGGTCTCCCCGTACACGTCAGCCACGCCTCGATCACCCAGCTTCGGTTTCACCTGACCGTGCGCCACCGGCGTACCCAGCTCCCAGACGACGCCCGGCTCGCTGACGACCCAGCGACGCGGGCGCTCCTCCACGTCCAGGTCACTAGCCTTCTGGGCGACCGCGTCGTCGGGGTCGCCTGCGGCGGGGCTGCCTCGGTGGCCCTTTCGGCGGCCACCCCGTCTGCCAATGCACTCGCGCGGCCGACCTGCTTGCCCTGCAGGCGGTGGCGCGCAAGCGGGTAGCGCCGACCATCCTCGGAGAGGAAGTAGAGAGGGTCGGCAGGCACAGGACGGTCGGGATCAGCCGCCCGAAGTGCCGCCACCTCCGCGCGCGCCTCTACGATGAGCCCCCTCAGCTCGTCATCCGTCGGGAGCTTCTTGAACTGCACCAGCGTGATGCTGTCGGGGGGGCCAGTTGTTCCGACGTGGGGGTCAACGCAGGCGCTGGCGTTGGTATCGACAAGGGGCCATGACCTGGGGCCGGCGCCGCCGTCGACGCGCGCGCCGAGGCGGGCGTCGCTGCAGGCGCCGACACGGACGTCGATCCTGGATTCGCTGCCGGCGCCGGCGCGGACGCCCACGCGGATGTGCTGACGTCGACGCCGGCTGCAATACTGGGGTCGGCGCTGGCGTCGGTGCCGGCGTCGCTGCTGGCTTCCACGCGGGGGTCGGCGATGGCGTCGCCGACGTGAACTCCTTGCTCGGGAGATGGGGAGTCGATGTTGTGATCGTCGATGTAGTCGATGCTGGCGTCGATGCTATTGTCGCCTCTGGAGTCGACGCTGACGTTGATGCCGGGGGGGAGATGGCGTCGGCGCTGCAGCCCATGCTGGCGCGAATACCGGGGTCGATGCTTTTCCCGAAGGTCGCGCGGACGCCGGCGCCGAGTCTGATGTAATCGATGTAGTTGAGCTGGCGACGGCACGGGTTTCGGCGCTGGTGTTAATGCTGGAGCCGGTGCCGACGTCGCTGCTGTCATGAGGGTTTGCGTCGATGCTGGAGTCGATGCTGGCGTTGATGGCGACTTAGATGCTGGCTCCGGTGCTGGGGCCGACGCCGTCTTCGATGCTGGCGCTGATGCTGGGGTCGATACTGACGTCGGCGCTCACGTCGATGTCGCCGTCGATGACTAGGGTGATGTTGGCTCAGTGGTGGCGTCGAAGCTGGGGTGAATCCTGGCGTCGGTGCTGACGTTAGCTTCGCGGGCGCCGATGCTGCTGTCGATCCTGGCGTCGGTGCTGACGTTGATGCTGGGGGGAGTGATGGCGTCGGCGCCGGAGGCGGCACCAGAGCTGATGCGGGGGTCGACGCTGCCCACGATGCTGGCGCGGCTGCTGGCCCCGATTCCGACGCAAGCGATGCAGTTGAAGCTGGGGTCGGTGCGGGTTTCGTTGTTCGCGCCAGTGCCAAGGTCAAAACTGACGTCGATGCTGCCACGAGGACTGGGGCCGATACGGGGGTCGACGCCGTCTTCGATGATGGCGCTGACGCTGACATCGATGTTGGCGTCGGTGCTGGCGTCGATGGGGTGGGCGGCGCCAGTGCCAATGCCGACGCGGGTGCTGGAGTCCGCGATGATGTCGGTGCTGACTTGGATGCTGAGGCGAACATTGCCGAGCCCACCCCAGCCGCCCCTCCAGCCGCCGCCCGAGCCGCCGCCGACGCCGACTGGCGCCCAACGGCATGGCAGATGGCGGCGTTGATGGTACGCTTGATCTGCTCGTCGTCCGGGTAGGCTACCGTGGCGACAGGCGTCGATAGTGGAAGTTGGGATGTCGTCGTGGACGTGGGTGACGGCGTCGGCGGTTGGGGCCCTGCTGGTTTCGGTGCCGACGTCGTTGCCGGCGTCTTTGCGGGCGTCGCTGCAGGCATCGGTGATCGCGTCGGTGCCACCGCCGCCGCCGCCCCCCCCAACCGCCGCCGCCGACGCGGTACCCCCCGTCGCCGCCTCCCTTGCCGCCGCCGACCCAAGCGCCACCAATTAATGCCCCGCCGCCGCCTGGGCGCCGCGCATGGCGCAAGGGACGGTGTCTGCTGGCACGAACACGGCGGCGTCCGGGCTCATCATGAAGTCGGTGCTGGTGCTGGCGACTGCGTAAGCGCTGGCCGTGGTGGTGCTGGCCTCGGCGCGGGCGTTGGTGCTGGGATCGGCGCGGGCTTAGGTCTCGACGAAGAGGATAGCAATCTCCGTGGCAGAAACATCGCGCCCGCTTGGCGCTGCGTATGCGATGCGGCGTTTCGCAGCAGGCGAGAGGTATACAATTCTCGGTCTGGGGCTGGTGGACTCTGGTGATCGCCATGGAGTACCGGTGCGCTCGTAGTTGGATTGGCGCTTCTTCGCGTGCTCCGCGGCCGCCATTGCCGGGCTGGGCGTCGCGCATCGGTCGCCCGCCGCTAGGGGCCAGCGCCCCCCCCACCAAACGCGGAGGGGTGATCATTCCAGTCAGTGCGGTCTGAAACTTGGCCCCCTGCCTTGGCGTCAGCTGCTGCAACGAAAGGGCATTTACAGGAGAGGTGGTGCTGTGAGGCACGTGAAACCCAGGGGGGGGCGCACCCACCCCTGGGATGGGTTGGCCATGCTGCTCTGTGAGCATACGTCTTAAAACCGTAAATGGGTGAACCAAGCCAGCGCAGCCCCCGCAATGTCGGGTGAACCATGGCTACAGGGGACCGTCGGCGGGGCAGCGAGTTACCAGGCGATTGTCCCCCTTTATGCCCGCTGTCGCCTCCTCGTCTTGGAGGCAAGACGCATGGCCGCATGAGAAGTAAACAGTGGTCCCAAAAAGAGTGTTTTCTCCTCCTCCTCCTCCTCCTCGACCACATTCTCATCCTCATCCTCATCCTCATCCTCATCATACTCCTCCTTATCCTCCTCTTCATCCTCCTCCTCTTCTCCTCATCCAACTCCTCAGCGTCTTACTCCCTCCTTCTTTCCTCCTCTCTCCTTTTTCCTCATCATCATCCCTCATCCTTATCCTCCCTCCCCGTTCCTCCCCAGAGGAGGAGCTCGGGTTCGGCGGCGACGAAGACAAGCATGACGAAGTATCCAGTGCCAAACCACAGATTGAAGGCGTCCTGGACGTCATACCTTCGGTAGCTGGGTCGACACCGAGCTCGGGCGAGAGACGAGGAGGGGGACGGAAGGGGAAGGAGGGACATGAGGACGACGAGGACCAGAGCAAGCCCAGTATGTGTCCGTTTTGCTGTATTACATCCCCCGTCCCAAGCCCCCCCCCGTCCCTTTCTCACATGTCTTTTATCGGAGGTTGAGGGGATAAGATCGCAATGGAACGGCGACATCCAACCGGGACATCGTTTCGTTTCGCTCGTGTCGTGCGAGCGGGCGAGGCGAAGCTGCGTGGGCGCGCGAGAGGAATGAACCCGCCGTTGCTAGGGCGAAGTCGAGACAAATGATTCTCCCCCTCCCGCCCGCCCGTCCAGCGGTGGCTCGCGGTGTCCCGCGGTGTTTCGTGGTGTCCCGTGGTGTCCGCCGTTGCTAGGGCGAAGTCAACACAAATGATTCTCCCCCTCCCGCCCGTCCGTCTGGCGGTGGCTCGCGGTGTCCCGCGGTGTCCAGTGGTGTCCCGTGGTGTCCCGTGGTGACCGCCGTTGCTAGGGCGAAGGCAAGACAAATGATTCCCCCCCTCCCGCCGGTCCCGCGGTGGCTCGCGGTGTCCCGTGGTCTCCCGTGGTGTCCCATGGTGTTCCGTGGTGTCCCGTGGAGTCCCAAAATATGAAATCGATCGTGAGATCGATAGTGAGATCGACAGCGAAATCGATCTCAGTATCGTTACTAAGATCGATACTGAGATTGATGTGGTGCCCCGAGGTGTCCCGTGGTGTCCCGTGGTGTCCCAAATTGTGAGAGCGATAGTGAAATCGATAGTGAGATAGACAGGTATCCCGTGGTGTCCCGTGGTGTCCCGTGGTGTCCTGTTGAGTGAGATCGATAGTTAGATCAATACTGAGATCCATGTGGTACCCCGAGGTGGCCGGTGGTGTCCCTTGGTGTCCCAAAATGTGAAATCGATCGTGAGATCGATAGTGAGATCGCCAGGTGTCCCGTGGTGTCCCGTGGTGTCCCGTTGAGTGAGATCGATAGTGAGATCGACAATGAGATCGATAGTGAGATCGATGCGGTGTCCCGAGGTGTCCCGTGGTGTCCCGTGGTGTCCCGTGGTGTCCTATGGTGTCCCGTTGAGTGAGATCGATAATGAGATCGATAGTGAGACCGATAATGAGATCGAGAGGTGTCCCGCGGTGTCCCGTGGTGTCCCGTGGTGGCCCGTGGTGTCCCGTGGTGGCCCGTTGAGTCCCGCTGAATGAGATCGATAGTGAGATCGATACCGATATCGACAAGTGTCGCGTGGTGTCCCGTGGTGTCCCGTGGTGTCCCGTGGTGTCCCGTTGACTGAGATCGATAGTGAGATCGATTGTGTCAGAAGTTGGTTTCCCCCCATTCCCCCCCCCCACCCACAACCTCCTTATCACCCGAAGGGTGGTCGTATAGGTAACAGATCCCTTTATAACATATCGCATGTCCCTTAAAACAGATCCTTTTGGACATATCCCTTAGAGAACAAGTGCTGAATGTCACATGTCCCGTGGAACTAATCGACTCGCTGATCGAGACGCCCCCTTGAACGACGAGAGCCCCTGGGGCATGCCATTGGCATGTAAGAAACCGGTATCGATATATATATATATATATATATATATGTATGTATATATATATATGATTCACCCTCCATCTTTCCAGCTGTAGAAATGCCCGCATGTACCTGTGAAGGAACTTGATAACTCAACGCCCACATGTAACGGTAAGGGGAATTTGGAAAACCCCGTTTTGAAAACAAGTCGCCCTCCGTCCTTGCTGTTGTAAAGCAATCCATTGTTGCAATACGACCCGAACATCAATCACAAACGAAAGCCCCGTGGCGAAAAAGAATCGCCCGCCCTCTTCGCGACTGCTAAACCACGATAAAGCCACCGTTCGACAAGAAATCGCCAATCATGTGTTCAGCTGCTGGAAATCTGTGTGGTAAAATTGCGTGGCGCTAACAGGAGAAACACATATTGAACATCATGCACCCTCCGCCCGTGTCCTTGCTGAAAACGCAAGACACGAATGTGAACGACACTGGGGCGACAACAAAATGTCGAAAATGATCCGCACTCCCATCCGTGTAGTTGTTGGCAAACGAAAAAGAATGTGCGCGGCGCTGACGATGCAGCCAAACTTGTAACAAGTCGTGCAACGGGTGAGAATCCGAACTTCGAGATCATACGCGATCCGACAGCTTTATTACAAACAATCCGTCCACCCAACCGACACGCATGGTAGTGGGACGAGGACGAATCACTGGAAGAGAAAATGGATTGAGAAAATAAACAGGAGGATGGGGAAGGAACCCGGGGAGAAGAGGGGGGACGCAGTGAAAGGCGGAGGGTGGAGGGAGAGGACAGCGAACATGACATGGAGTGGGTAGAAGAAGGAGAAGAAGAAAGGTTGTCGTCGATCGGCTTGTACCGCTTTCCATATGGCTGAGGTTTCATACTACAAACTAGGAATGGGAAAATAAAACATCAAATACCGTTGTCCGCAACCGAATGTATAGCGCGTGAAACTATGTAGAAGGGGCGCGGGAGAATATCATCGTGGCCCCGAAACACAAATGGCAACGGACAGGCTGGGTGACATACAGATAAGGCAGCAGGAATGTGGAGAAACCTACCGTTCGAGTCTGGTGCTCAAGCGAGTCCGTCATGCCTTCAAAATCGCGGCGCAACAAGAGGGCTCCACTAACCGCCCCTTCAAAAAAGTTGCCTCGCGGTGCGAACGCGTTGACCCGGTTCTGGTAGGTCTCAAAACCATTCCAAACCCCAAGGGCGCATGGGCCCCCGGCGGCGCCAACCAGGGCGAATGGCAGGTCTGGAAACTGCCCCCAGTGAAATCCTCGAAACTACCCCACCCAGTAAAGTGCGAGACGATCGGAGGAGCGCCTGCCAAAGCAACCGCGAGCTGCCCGGACGCAGTCCGAACCAGACCGCTCACTCGAGCACTCTACTCATCTACCTCGCTGGTTGATTTCGCACATCCACTTCCCAACTCCGCGTGACCTCGCGACGAAGTCACGCCAGTCATCTCCTCGCTTCTGCGCGGGTGCGATATGCTGCAAGCTCGGGGCGGCCTCCTTGAGCTCATCGTCGCTGAATTCGACCGCGACGCGGTCATCCTGGTTGCTCATCGCGCTGAGAATGGGCTCTCGGCCCATGCTGTCCTCGATCGCGGGGTCGGCCCGCATGTCCTGAGTGTCGCGCCAACGCAGGTCGTCGATCTGCCGGGCGCGCAGCTGGTCGGTCAACCACCGCGGGCGGCCAGCCGCAATGTTCCTGGGCCGCGGGCGGACCGGGTCGATGAGCAAGGCGCCGAAGACGGGCGCGCAGCCCATGACAAGGTCTGCGGGGATCGCGCAAACTCCTTCCCCCCTCAGCCGCGCACCATCCGGCGCGACGCGAGGAGGCGCGCCCGCTGACCGCCTGCTGCGCCGCACGCCGCAGGCAGCTCAGAGCCCAATGAGGATATCCACACAAGCTTGCGCGATCGACTCACAGCGCCCAGCAGGTGGCGCGCCCGTTTGCTGGCGTGGCTGCACTTGCTGCAACGCGCGCATACAGCTCCTCTCATGCCGCAGCCCGACTCCCCCCCCCCGCCTGCAGGACCCGTCGCTGCGCACGCTGATTCGCACGGCACACCCCATTGATGGAAATGCGATGAGCGCCTCAATCTTCTGCGCGGCCAGCGCAGCTGCATTGAGCTGCATCGCGCGTCGGACGAGCAGCTTGCGCTCGGCTCTCTGCAGGGCGACGACGCACGCTGCAACGCGGTGCTGGGCGAGCAGGGCGTAGGCCGCGGCTCCCAGGAGGGAGACAAAGGTCGGGAAGCTGACCTCAGGTCGTCGACGCACTCGTCCTCGCCGTGCGTCACGGTGCCATCGGCACTGCGGTGCTGGTGCAGTTCGCAGGTGGCGAAGTCGTCGCAGTCACCCTTCATCTTGCTGGAGACGCTCTCGACGTGGCCGATCAGCCGGCCGACGCGCAAATCTATATATATATATACATACATACATGCATACACATATATACATATGTACATGCATACATACACACACATACATACATACATACGTACATACATACATACACGCCGGCAGCACAACAGCCGATTGTCACGCGCTTGACCTCGAGCATCGGGACCCACATGGCAGGTTCGGCGCTGCGCTCAGGCAAGAACGTGACCAAGGCAAGCTCCATGGAAAAGGCGCCAGGCGCGCCCTTGCAACCCGTGCCCGGCTCGACGCAGCGCAGGCACTCGGCCCGCTCGTCGACGCCCTCGCAGCCGGGCACCTGCCTGAGGATGGCTGCACTGCCGGAGGCGAAGTGAAGTTCACCTCCAGAGGCGCTTCGCCTTGCTCCTGCACCCCTGCATTGGCCACGCCTTGCAGGAACGCCTTCTCGACGCCAACGGCGACGCGCACCCGCCCAGGGCGGCGCGCCGCATCTGGGGATAGAATGCGCTGAGACGCCCGCTTCGCAGCCCAAGCGAACGTCTCCAGGGCCCCGGCGCCCACGTCGCGGAAGCACCTCAACGCCGCGCGGCGCTGGGTGGCCCTGCCAACAGTCTTGCCATCTGACCCCACTCGGCGCTTCCACTCGAAGACACGTCTGGAGCCCACTACGTCTCGGGCGCCCTTGGGCGACCGCCTCTCGAAACACTCGCACGCGACCCAGATCTGACGGTGAGCACCTCGAGGATGGCCGCCGCGACCTCCTTCGACAGCCTCGACACTTCCTCGTTGGACAGAAGGTCGGCGTCGCGCTTGATGGCCGCGGTTTCGACGGCGGCGTAAATCTTAGGCTCTGCTGTCCGAAAATGGACCACATCGCCCTTCTCGTCCTCTAGCGCGGCGCAGTCGCCCCAGCAGGCCCCGCGCATGTAGCAGCGGCACTGCGCGTGGATGCTCCGACGCCGGCGCTGCGCCTCGAGGTGCCAGGCACACTCGCGTGGCCCGCGGCCCAGGTCGGCCG